TATATATATATATATATAACATAAGATCACATTCGAGCTTGTAGTTTAAAAAGTAATTAACATGTTATCAGTTTTCCAAATTTTAAAGTCACTTTTTTTGAAAATAAAACCTTGTAGAAAAAAAATATTTGTATATTCTACATTTCCAACATATTTTTGCACAAGGAATTACTTCCTTTTTAGTTGTATTCTGTTTTCCACACAACCCATTCTGTATATTAATATACAAAATGAACTAGATATGTACGTACATTATGAAACTTGATGCATATATACATAGCACAACAATTAAATTATAACACATCCTGTAATATATACATTACTCTAAAACTGTACAATAAAAATACGACGTTATATTTTCTATAATATGTAGGACATTCGTAGAAAAACGTAACCATGATGTATTTTAGCTTCAAAACACCTTTGATATTGTCTTCGATGTGTTATATTAGCTTATAACTATTATGTTCTAGAAAAACGCGACTTAGAAATCAGTGGTATTTTGTAAAATCTGATTCAATATATGCAAAAATTAGCAATTCCTATTATTTAGCATTTTACTATTGGTAAATAATCGAATAATTTATAAAAATCTATAAGTCCGATATATACTCAATAAAATGAGATATTTGAATATATCGTCATTGTCTGCATAATTTTTTTATACTTTGTTTTCACCAAGGTGCCCTTGTTTTTACTATGTCTTTATTATACATATATATATATGGAAACGATTATATATGAGAACAATTCTTCATATTTGTCAAATTTCTCACTGATAATTACATTATCATTCTATGACATAATTTTGATAAATCTCTTATGAAATGTTAACTTTATGGTAACAGTGGGACCAGCACTGTCAAATTGTAATACAAGCACAAGATACAAAAAGATTTTGATAAAGAAATTTTAAACTACAAATATACTTTTTTACAAAAGGATTAAATAATTTGCTTCATCTGACATGATATAACTTGGAGTTAAAATTATACAATATTTATGGCATATATTATATGTTTCGAAATGACACGTATTAATTGTTACTAAACTTAAACTTTTAGCACAATTCATGGAAATATTTTTGTCACTAATATATATATATATAAATTATTTAAAATTATTACTTTCATGCACACACACACACACATACACACAATACTAAAATAATACTTGTATTTAATATAAGAATGCCATTAAAAAAAAATATTTTATACAATTTTGCGTTCCTTAATTCAAATGAGTGCATGATGAAATTTGCATACAAGAGGCAAAGAATATTTACACGCGCGGACATAAGCACATACGTGTTACTTTTCTGTTTAATTAATTCTGTTTATCGTAAATTCACGTAATGTTACATTACGCAAGCGCAGATGCCGGTAGGGAACTATGCTTAGGTTTCGTCTTATTTAAAAAAACTTTGATACATCCATTGAAATCGGCACTCACAAGAACATGCCCTCCACAGCCTTTAGTGCGTTGCTCAACGACAGGATCAACGGGAACAACACCTATGTTAGAGCTATCTACGCTTTTCGCCTCTTCTTTGCTCTCCCATTGTTCTCTCGCCTCAATTTGCTTAATAATACTATCTGGATTCGGCGCAAATACAGCACACGTTACTACAGCATTGTGAGCTTTTATGCCTTCCCAGAAATCATTTCGATCTCTGCGAACGCTGGAAAACTTGGAATAATCGTGATGAGTTTTCCAAATATAAATGCATTGATTTTCAGAACCGCTAACTATGTATTGCCCGTCTGGACTAAAACTTGCTTTAATCTGACTACTAATGTTGACATATCCTTTGTATTTGCAAGATAAGTTTAAATCTCTCAAATCGTATAAACGAATACGACTATCGTTCGATGTAACTAAGATTTTGTCTTCTCCCGGCATAGGTTCGATTCCACTAATTTTGCGACCGGTAGAATTTTTACCTCTTGTCGATCGTACGTGTATTTGTGTATGGTATTTCAATTGATCCGTATTGTAAAATATGCATCTACCATCATACGATCCTACAACAGCAAATTTTCCATTTTGACAAAAGTTCGCCGCGGTAATTAATTTTGTGTGCCCGTCTACTTCGTTCCATACGGCGACTTTTTTATCTGGAATATTCCATAAGCGCAATTTGCCATCTAGTGATCCTGAGAGAAAGTACCGATCGTCCCGTGGATGGAATACTATAGCGGTGACAAAATCGATATGCTGAAAACAGCATAAACATTCCTTGCGAGATATATGCCAAAGCCGCACAGTTTTATCCATCGATGAAGATAAAACAAAATAATTCTTAGACCATGAAACATCAAGCAGATCCGAGGTATGACCAGTGTATGTACAAAACGGCTTTGGCATGAACGGACTTTTTGTTCCTTCAACCTCGCCTAAAGCACTAGCCACAATGTTAGGATCTTCCATAGATTGCTGCGAAACTAACGATTCCTGCGAAGGAGTAGGGCTGACCTTTTCCGCATTATATTTTGTTCGCATATCCTGAAAATATGTGAAAGCATCTCGTAAAACCCAAATTCTCAAAACCCGATCTTGTCCCGCAGTGGCCAACAATCGACCGCAAGCGGAAAATTTCATACACCAGACAGGCCCTACATGTTCTCCGCTAAGATCTTGAACATGCTGCAGACAACTGAATTCGTATGGACCTTTGTGGCTATTTGACGCCTTTAACTTTATGTATTGTTGTTCACCAGGATAAACTTCGTCCACTATGTCCATAACGTCTTCTTTGTGTCTCGCATGCGATACTTCTTGCGCGATGGATTTGGCTTTATTCATAGTCTTTTTTACAGTGGAACCTAAAAATCGTTTCAACTTTTGCGTCCGCTTACGAACTCTATCTACGGACACATCTTCGTCTGGAGGTATACTAGACATTTTACTATCTACGCTTTCTTCATCGCTCTCTTTTTCTTTCTCAAGACTAGAATTACTTATATATTTAGACTTAGTGAGTCTCATAATGTGTAATGACAAAGGATTAATACACTGCGGTAATTTATCTTCTGCTATACTTAATGGCACCTGTTCCCCTGTATCTAAATTTGTTACAGGCACTTGTTCCAAAATTTCCTGTAAGAACAGATAATATTTTGATATATTTTTTATTTCATTAATATTCTTAATATAGAATATCTGCTACTTAAAATAATTTATCAATGCGATAACGAACCATATCAGTAAGACGCTTGCCAGAATCTGTCCTAGTTCTCACAAACATATTCAATTGCTTGACCATATCTTGGTCACCAGCCGATTTACGTCTTTCTCTGGAAATTTGTGGACTCATACTTGATAGCCTGTGCGGGCCCAAAGAATAACGACCAATACTGTTGCTCGATACTGATCCTAATGGACTATTGGACTTATTACTCGTTCGACTAAGCAGTTCTGCTTTCATTCTTGCCACCCTTTCCAATTCCTCAGAAGATGGTCCTTCTGCTTTCAATTTATCCTCGTCCTAATAATGTATAATAAATATTATATAATTATAAAGTATCACATATATAAATTATAATAAATATGAGTAAACATATGAATAAAGAATAGAATAAATCTTATAAGAAATTATTTTTCAAAATTATTTGCAGAGTATTTACCTGCGGCTTAACAACATATTGCCCTTTCGTCGCGGATCGAATATCAAGACTGTGCTCGAATTCTCTAGTAATCGATTCTATAGTACTAGCTGGACTTGGAAGCGGCGATGCGGGTACAAGCGTTTCCGCAGAAGGCTGAAATTAATTATATTATTTAGCCATTAAATAAATCACATCTCCATTAATTATTAACCCACAAGATAATGGTAAGAAATCTTACAGCAAGATCAGTAGGTGTATGAGCCTTTGTTTTCTTTTTACGACGTGGAGGAGCAACAGGTACACCAGAAATTGCTACATCTTCTGCCAGTTTCCCGTTATTCTTTGTACTCGCGATGACATCAGGTTCTTGAAGCATAACAGTCTTGTCACTTTGCGAGTGAGAAGCATAATTGGACCGGCCATTAATAGAGGATTCCTGTAGGATATCCCCTGATAATGTGAGGACACTGGAAGATTGGGATACCTTACCAGAGGTTGCGTCCTCGTCTTTGCTTGGAATACTAGCAATGGAGGACATTTGACCTTCACGGGTAAGGGCGGCAGAAGGAGGGCACTGGGATATACTAGGTATAAGTACACCAGAAGTATTATCTGCGACTCCTGCCAGAATTCGACCGACTCGTCCTAAAGAAGTCATACTTTGTAAACTGAGAGTATCGTGTTCTATGATTCTAAATGGATGGGTCGTTTTTGAAGGGGTGGGGTAAACACCCTCGATGGAAGATGTCTGACTATCTGGAGGTGAATTAGTAATCGGAATATCGTCGTCTTCTGTTTGCATACGTTGTCGAAGTTCGCGAAACCGTTTCCTTCCAACAATTTTATCTGTAGTTGATTCTGCACCATCTTCGATCTAAAATATTTTATATGTTAAAGTTTGTGTGTTTTCTTTAAAAAGACTGTGTTTTAGATACAAGTTAAAGATAGATGAAAGTTCATAAAGTTATATACAAAATAAAACTTTAAGAAGTATTAAATGTAATATAATTTTCCTGCTTCTCAACTTTCTAAAAAATTTAAGCTATGTGATTTTATATTTAAATCGGGCACGAACTTATGCAATCACCTGATAGTATCCTTCATATACAATATTTGTGGCCGTGTTCCAAAATTCACTGCCAGTACTAAAAATCTATAATTCATGTAACATATGTGTATATTTTATTATATATTATATTAGATTTCCAGTACTGGCAATAAATTTTGGAACAGCTTGGATATGCATATATAACACACACATATATATATACACACATGCACACGTATTTATTGTATACATACAAAATTTAGAATATATACTTACAAGTTTATCTTTATTTTGCTCACTATCTGCAGGTATACAACCCTTTGTATCAATAGTTGGTTTAGGTATAGCAGGCTTTGCAAAGACATTGTCATCGTCTTGCTTGCAAATTTCTAATGCTTTATCAGCTTCGACACTGGTACACTCGCGTTGTTTAACTCTTCTACAAAACAAACAAATTTGATATAATTAATTACTAATAATATAATTAATATTATCTTATATATTTATTCATATATGAATGCCTACTTATATATTTTACATAATATAGCAAAATTCTTATTTCTCTTATGACAAACCCATGTAACTAAAGTCTAATTAGGTCTAAATAGGAAATATATAATATGTGTCAATATAATTTTATATAAAATACAGATTTATAAATATTTCTACAACGCTATATGTACAAACTAATTAGAAAAACTGTTACACAAATTAAAATATCCTGATTTCAACGATTATGCACACTACGTCAAGTATATAAATAAAAAATGCATTAAAACTATACACATTTTTCATGCACAAAGCATACTATGATGGGTTATCCGAAAATCCTTGAATAATCACGGTTAGAACGGCGGTATAGCATAATCCATGATACGCGAATACGCGCGATGAATTACCTATATCCCACTACATATATGAAATATGCACTATTCATTTACTATGTCGTAACACGATCACGCAACGGAAAATCGCGGGTGAAAAATTACCGTGACGCACGATGAAATGAATCGTCCTCCGCGTCGAAGAATTCCTCGGAATCGCTGCTACCTGACATTGTCGTACGCAGTAGATGATCCGCGAGGACACTCGTCCTCGCATCAGTAGAGTCGCTGATACACGTCACGCACGTCGCTGGATTGCGAACAAAATGACTGATGCTGAACAGGAACGATTACGCGAATGCAAACTATATGGAATCATTATTTCGACTCGTAGCAACGATTACACCACGTTATAGAGACTGATAAACGTCCGCGCACGTCCGCGAGTGCCCGCAAAACAGTGCAAAACAGCATGCACCAATCAGTTCCAGAGAGAGAGAGAGAGAAAGAGACAGACAGACAGACAGAGAGAGAGTGAGTGATTGACAGCGGAAAAGAGGGAGAGAGGAAGAGAAGGAGGAAGGAAGAGAGAGAGGGAGAGAAAGAGAGAAAAGAGAGAGAGAGAGAGGGAGAGAAAGAGAGAGAGAGAGCGAACTCTATACCATAGATATATAATATGCATAGATAGGATCTTTTCTGTGAGAGGGAATCTCGTTTGACTACATCCGGATTGATCACAGCCACTCATATCGATCGGTATCTAGGGTTACCAACAATAATTGACTAATTAAAGAGTCTTATTTTGAATTGGCCAATTTGTGTCCAATCAGACCCTACTCTTTTTTTTGTTCTAGAGAGATGTTTATTTGGACATAGTGCGATTGAACATAACTATTCATATTGTGCTGTGTTCCGATTTTCCACCCGGGTGCACCCGATATTATAGTATATGTTACGTATACTCAACAGTTCAGCATCGTTTTGTCAACACTTGTCGTTGATTTGTTGGTTCTAAAAGTAAGAACCAATCACGTTCAATTGTTATCCAACTGTTGAGACTATTAATGCGCCCATTGGTTTGTATCTTAAGATCGTACTTAAGACGATCTTGAATATAAGAACGGACTATGAATACCGGCCTAAATGCGCCCATTGGTTCTTACTTTTAGAATTAACAAATCAACATCGAGTGTTGACAAGATAATGTTCAACTGTTGAGTTGCTGAATTGCGTCCAATCACGTTCGATTGCTACCCAACTGAATGCGCCCATTGATCGGTGGCTAGGATAACCAGCATGATTGACCAATCAAAGGACCTTATTTCCAACTTGCCACTAGGTTTGTTCGCGTTGTTTAAACTTTTTGTACTCAGTATCTTCGTTTTCACTTTCTTCAACATCCGAATATATATTTATCTCGTTTTCAGTGCAAAACTTTTTGGGAATTTCAAGCAACGCGAACAAACCTACTGATAGCGTTTTCGAATGTAGCAGGTTTAATCGCTCTCAGAGCGATTAATTACGTCATTGCATCGTCTCTGCCAATAAAAGGCTTAAATTCATAGTAAAATATAGTGATTAATTGAACCAGGTTGTGTTAATCCGTTTATTCGAAAACGCTATAAGTATTGACCGCGTTCAGGGTATTGATCATGTAACTTTTCCCCTAGGGCGGAAAAGTGAAAAATTTTGCCATTGATTTCAATGCTAATATTTTTCACTTTTCACGTTTCCGCCCTAGGGAAAAAGTTACATGATCGGTACCCAGCAGAGAAAACGCTCAGTTATCAGGTTTGTTCGCGTTGCTTGAAATCCCCAAAAATTTTTGCACTTAAAACAAGATGAATATATATTCGGATGTTGAAGAGAGTGAAAGCGAAGATGCTGAGTGCAAAAAGTTCAAGCAACGCGAACAAACCTACTGTCTTGTCAACACTCGACGTTGATTTGTTCGTTCTAAAAGTAAGAGCCAATCACATTCGATTGCTACTGAGCGATTTTCTCTGCTAAACGCGGCCATTGTGTCCAACATATACCCGTCAAAACTAGAGTCCCTAGATTCTAGTTTCGGAACTTCGGAAAACGGGGTGCGTTCCGTTTCACGCATTGAGCGCATAGATCGCCTGGAAATCTATAGTTCACGTAACATATATTATAGATTTCCAGGCGATCTATGCGCTCAATGCGTGAATAGGAACGCACCCTATATGTCTATGTATAACCGTCTCGAAATATTCACATTGTGTATATCTGTAGCAATTGGAAGTATTACTATTGGCAACAGTCATACCACGTTGTAAAGCACCAGTTCTCGTCCGATCACTGAAGTTAAGCAACGTTGGGCATGGTCAGTACTTGGATGGGTGACCGCTTGGGAACACCATGTACCGTTGCCACTATTTTTTTTTTTTTGCTAATTTT